AAAATAGCAGATTAATTTGCAGCCTTCGCTAAACATCAAGATATTAATGTACATTGGGACAAAGCATCCATAATTAGGACAGCCACCAACAAACAAGTCCTTAAACATATTGAAAAACTTGAAATTTACAAGGTGCATATTAACAAAGGATGCATCAACCATAGAGATGCAGATAGTCTATCCTGCGCATGGAAATCTTTTTACCACGACAATTAATTATTATTATTATTATTATTGTATTATTTTACCACGATTAATTTCTTAATATTTTATTTATAATTTTTTACGTTTTTTAACATTTTATTTACGTTTTACGTAATTAATTTTAATTTTTAAACCGTTGTATTGCTTACGTTCTATTTTACGTTCGTTTTCGTTTTGAAGAGGTTAACTGAAGAAGACTATTAAGTATAGTCGAAAAAGTTATTATTTTATTAAATACTTCGTTGCTGGAATTACTAAGGTGTGTTGATTATTATTTTAAGCATTTATATTCCAGTAAGTTATTTTATTTTATTGATCACAATTATATTGTATATTCTACTCATACCAAAAATTTATCTTTTTCTACCACCCACATTCACATTGATTTGTGTCAAATAAGTTTATAGGCCAGATTTGACCTAGAGATAAGTAGTTTGGGCACCTCTGATCTATACCACAGAGTAAGATAGAGATATAGATTTGTATTACTACTATAGAAATCTCTTAAAAGTTACAGGATGAATAGTAACAATAATACATTGGAACTAGTTTTGCAGCACTAGGAGTCAATACTTCATGATAACCTGAAAGTAACAAGAAAGAAACTACTAGTAATTGTAACAATGAACAGATGTTTATGTCATTATTACTAAAGATATTTTTTGTATGAAATATTCATGCTCAGAGGCGTTGCTAGATGTTTGAAACATCTAGGAAATGCTTCAGAGCTAAATTTGAATGCAATTTGCAAGTTTATTATTGTAGTTGTAGGCTCATAACCCAAGACTTCACCATGACAGTCACATGATTAAACCACAATTAATGCTTATCTTATCAAACAAAAGAATGTAAAACTTGTCAAGTAAATTTATTTTTGATATTGGCTTTTTCAATACTCTTAAATGGCAAAGGACAAAACCCTTTGCAATGTAAGATAATTTTTGTTTTAGCACTTCTAGTACTACTAAAATGGATTTGTTGTTTGCAGTACCTGTTCTACTGTTCAGACGTCTTTTTAAGTTTGAAACTGTTACCATCAAATTTTTTATTTTTCTTCTTCTTGGTTTAACCTAAAAAAAAAATAACCATTAGTTAACATATAGTACTGTAAGATATATATAAATAAAAAAGCTCAAAGATTTAACGTCCTCAAACCATTAAATGCTGGATTATATCAAGTTACAATTTGGCTACAGATTAATTATATACAACTTGTATCTCTTAAATTAATTGGTTTAAAAATATAGATCAGACAGAAATCCATGCAATATAACTCGTAATATATCTGCACGGTATGCAAAAGTTGCAAGTTTGAGTCCTGCTCTAAATTTTACTTTTCTTCCAGTACTTATTAAATTTAATTATAAACTTATTATTATTAAAGTGAATACAAGAAGCTACTTAACTGCCTACTTTTATACCAAAATACTCTTTTCATAATTAATCGATAGCCAAAACGTTGACTGAAGTAATCTGGGTTTTTAATGATTTGATTACAGTAAAGTATTAATTAATACAGGTACACCTATGATTTTCTGACATCCTTGCTTTCAAAACTTTTCTAAATTAGCCATTTTGTCAGATTAACAGAAGCTGAACAGTAATAATTCAACAACTACTCTGATCTATCATGCTCATCTAGTGTCTTAAAAACACTATGGACTGCTAGAAACATTATTGTAAAACATTGAGAAGCATTAAACTAAATATTTGATCAACTAGTTTAATTTTTATAAGAAAATCTCACTTTCTAAGAGATTGATCACTCGTTACTAAGTGTAAGGGTGCGACTATGCAGACGTGAATTTAGAGCGAGCGAGAGGTTGCGAGAGATTTAGTTTTCGCAAAGGAAAACCATGCACAAACGAGAAGCGAGAAATAATGCTAGCGGGAGCGAATTTCTGGTTCTCGCACATATCTGACAGGTTTTGATATTTATCGCGTCTTGCCTCTTCTCGCCACATATTCTCGCTCGCTCGGAATATTTGCTCGCTCTTGTCTGCATAGTCGCAACTTAACAAGATATCAGCTTAGATTATGGGAGAGGTCAAAATCAATGTTTAATTCAATCCCCCAACCAGAGATGGTTGATCTTGGGATTTACATTCTTCTATTGCTTATAAGTTTGCATTGTTTACATACAAAAAAATTATTTCTAACTTCTAACTTTTTTCTTTAAAAATTTATTTTAATGTGAATTTCACTGAGGGTTCAGACCTGTCCAGAGCCTCACACAATTTTGAAAAATTGTAGACTTATAAATTCCTACTGTTGTTTGTCTGTCCTTCCTTAATCTCGAGAACACACTTAGTCAAGTGAATGCCGAGACCAATCTGGAAAGTTTCTGGGAAGCAGGCCCCCAATTAATATACAATCTTCCTATGCAAACCAGAAGTCAGGGAAAGACACTACTAATTTCAGGTTGAGAGCATATATTTGAAATTAAATAAATAAAAAATAAGATTAAAAATTGCAGCCTAACATTGTGAAGATGTCACAATAAATAACTGCTCATTACTATTATTATTTCTAAAGTTTTCTTCGTATTTATAGCCATATGTGGTGGTATTGTGCCGTTTGAAGTGTAACAAACATTATCGCATGAGGAAATTGTCTATAATACTAACAATTCAAACAATAAAATGCTGGGACTATGCTACTGTATTTTCATATCAGATTGTCTTTTTCTTCTATGTGCAGTAATGTCTTAAGCTTATTCACTTGTGAGGACATATATTTTCACATATGTTACGTACTATGTGAAGAAATAAAAGTCTTTTATTTAATAAAAGACCCGCCTGGGGGAAAGGAAAATTTTGCCATCTTTTATTTAGTTATCTCAATTTAAAAGACTAAAATTCAGTTTCGTCACAGAATAAGTAATGAAAAATTCTGTGCTAGTGTTGCCACCTTTTTAAAATTGCTGACCCGGACAGCAGGTGAGATTTGTTCGAACATAACTTCCTGACGTATGAGTATGTCATTTTGCAATGCGAAGAATAATGTGCAGCGCATGCTGGTTCTAAATCAGTTACAGTTAGCGACTAGGGAGACTTGGGTGGGAGTAATGTAAGTAACCTAGATGACTTAGCTCTATCGGATATTGGAGGTGTATATGAATACGAATGGTTCGTAAAAGCAAAGAAAAAAAAAAAAAAAGTTGATAGGTCGTGCACGATATCCCAGACTGTCGGCATGGTAACACTATTCCGTGCTCATTTCAATCGGTCTGAATTGTAGGTGCGATGAAATTATGTAATGAAATGGTTCAAATTTTTACAAGATATTATTATTATCTATTGTGAAATTTTGCCGCCCCCTAAAAAGTGCTGCCCAGGGCGGGCCGCCCCTGCTGCCCCCACTATGCTATGTCACTGGTTTAATCACAACGTTTAAACAATATCTTACAGGTTCTGTCATGTCAAAATTTTTGTTTCAGTCTACTGAAAAAAGATTCAAGTGAAAAAAAGTCATCCCAAAAAATTCCCAAAATTACTGTCGGTCAATAGAAAAATCCCATTCTGGAACACAAGGTGGCATTGCACAAAACTGCGTTAGGTTCTCGACATCACTTCCTACTTTTCTGCCCGAACTTGCCACATGACGTCATGAAACTGCTAGGTGTGTGGTGCATGGGACTCCCGTTATACGGAAGTTCGACATTTTGCTGTTTTTCTCAAAATGTAATATGTGATTCAATTTCACGCCGAATGTCAAAATAAGAGGACTAGAATTTTTATCACCATTTGCTATCACCAGTATTATATTTTTATCACTGCTTTAATAAAAATATTGTCAAGTGGCGATTTTGACGCTATGTAGAACAATGAGTAACTAGTACCTATTTAAAATTTAAGTCATCTACCACAAAAAAGCACGTGCTACACACAATGCCATTTGCATAAACTGATGAGCGAGTCAAGCAGTTGGAGTTTCAAAAATAATCATATGATTTTTTACCAGAATAAAGAAAATGCCTGACTAATGTCAGATAATGGGAAAATACATAACGTATCTAGAAATATTTTTCTACAATGTATTTCATTAATAAATATGATATACATTTTGTTTACAACTACAGCAAGAAATTATAATTACCTTGGGTGGTGAAGGAGGTGTGTTACTTATTTGTGTTTCTGTTTCTGCATTATTTTCCTAAAAATATTTAACTGTTAGTTTAATTTTATATATAGACAATATAATGTAACTAATAATCAATATTACTTATTCCTAGTCCATATTTGGATATTAAACTATTTAAATAGTCACTATTTATAAAATAATAATACAAAAAGTCAAATATTCATCGACGAATCAGCTTTATTTATCCACTGAAATGTTTCGGGAAGAATTTCCTCCCATAATGGTACATAACCTATACTACTTTTCAAATAATTTTTAGAACAAAATAAACACACTAACCATGCATTTCTCCCCCAGAATGGCAAAAAAGTTAACACAAACACTTTCAGTCTACTTCTAAGACCTGCTTCAGTTTGTTGAAATTGCTTTGATAGACAAAAAATCTAGCAACGAGAGCTGCATAACTTTCTCAGCTGTTATGAGTATTTATTTTAAAAAAAACTTATATTATTACGCAAAAAAATTACAATAAAATTGTGTGTGGAGCCATTTGTTATCAGATTTTGTTACAAAAACTTTGTCATTTTTTAGTAATTAAAAATATATAAAGAACTTAATTAAGTACTACCACTTTTGAGATACAAGACCTCCTTCTGTCTCCCCGTCCTCTCATCCTTTTACCTCCGAAATTTAATAGCATCAATGCCCCTCATTTACAAGCTACCATCCCAAATTTCATTTGTTAATGTTTACCCCATCCTTAGATATTAAGCAAAATGGATGCCAAGTCACACCCACAGAATTCTTTTGACTTTTTTGGATTATGGAGGTCTCAAAATGTGGAGATTTGCAAAAAACTCGGAGAGTAAAATTTGACATGATTCCAATACTTTCCCTTGTTATGTATACATAAGAGCTGGGAAAATAAAATGGAATGCTCCAAAAACAATTTATATAAAATCAAATTTTTACCATTGTTATAAAGGACTTATTACTTCAATTACAAATGAAAACACCCCATTAGTCAAAGTTTGAATTTGATTTTATACAAATTTTCTTTGAAGCATTCCATCTTTTAATATTGAAGCAATTTCAACAACCTGAAGCAGGTCTTAGAAGTAAACTGAAAGCATTTATTTATGTTTATATTTTTACCATTATCCTGAAAAAACAATAAGTTTAGCATGTTTGTTATTTTATTTACTTGTCCAGTTTGTGAGAGTGAAATATTTAATTTATATTCATCAACTCATTCACTATAACACATATATGCTCATCTGAACAAACCCTGAATCCTGCTACCTTGTACCAAACCAGTTTTCTAAATCTTTGGTTATTTCCTTCAAACACAACTTGATGCTACTTCCTCTCCTTATGCTAATATCCGAGTAATTCATTTCCTTCTTTGCTTTTCTTTCCACTTCCAATCTCAGTCCTTTTCATTGCTATTATTTACTGTTTCATTTAAAACTGAATATATAAAAGTGGAACAACAAATTTAATATTTATTTTACACGTAAAAACTTTTATTTTACACGTAACTTTTAGTTTGTCCTGACTCAAATAAAGTTCATTCAGTTGATGCTTTTACCACCTAGAATATGTGCCCATCAAATTCATACATCTGTAATTAGTAATTTAACTGAATCATGAATCAATTAATATGGGAACAAAGTCAGAATCATCCTTTCCTCACTTTTTCAAAGAGTTTGAGTAAGTGAGTTGGCAATTTTTAACTCTCAAAGAAATTGTTGTAAAATCAATGTCTATTATAACTATAATGATATAAGATGACAAAATATTCCTTGAGATAATTCAGATTAACATAATAAGGATTGTTAACTTATATATAAATTTACTTTCTTTTAGCAGTTATATCTCATTTACATTTTATTTCATTTATAAATTTTCAATATATTATTAATAATTAATTTAATTATAAATACACAGGTGGTCCTCAAATCAACAGACTGAAATTTAATGAATTTCAAAAACAATAGAACAAAATCAGCAGAACACAAAATACATGATGAAATCTTGATAAGATTTAGTTTAGTTTTGGTAAATGCTTATTTTCTCCTTCCTTGAATCTTAAGAATAAGAATTAGAGGAGCTGCTTATTCCTTCTAGCTAAGGATAATTAATAATTTTAAGTCCCACGAATGCGGCACTGCACTCTCCTCCATGAAATATAATAAATATTCTATATAAATATTTATTATATTTCATTGTAATTTTAAATGGTAGTAGTAGTAGTAGTAGTTCCTCCAATGCTAGGTAACATACTGGGCAGCAAGTATTTTCCATCAATTTTAATCATGGGCAAGGGCTTCAGCTTCCTTCCAAATCAAATTGAGCATCTTCAAATCTTGAAAAAAAGTTCTACATCAAGTATTCCTGGGGTGACCTCATGGTCATTTGGCACCAGGGGGAACCCATTTCATGGCTGACTTAGGGATCCTATTGTTCTCCATACAAAAAATATGGTCAGCCAGTCAGACTCTTCTACAGGCAATGATGTTATGAAGTTTGCACATCCCATTCCTTTGGAGAACCTCTTCATAAGTGATATGATCTAAATATCAGATCTTTAGGATTCGTCGTAGGCATCTCTGCTGGAAGACATCGAGCCTTCTATTGATGTTTCCTGATGTCTTCCAGGACTCACTAGCATAAAAACAGCTATCGGAATCATGATGGAGGTGAACAGGCAGAATTTGATTCTCAATGAGATGGATGGTAAGGACCAGATTTTGTTCATCCACCAGAAGACCACTGCCGCTTTTCCAATGCAGCACTTCATGTCCATTTCCACGTCACCATTTTAGGAAGTAACACTAACCAAGTAAGTAAATCACTCCATCTCCCCCAATTGTTATGTTCCAACAATTACTCTCCATGTTTGGGCAGTGTTACATACATGCATAATTTTAATCTTCATGGTGTTTATTCTGAGGCCAATTTTGTGTGCCTCCCGACCCAATGTGGCTGTGGCATGCTGTAGCATTGTCTTGCTTTCCTCTAATAGGGCAATATTGTCAGCAAAAACCAAATCTCCAAGACAGTCCTGGCCAAACCAGTGGATACCAGCCCCAACATGTGCACCAGACTCTTCTGCCCGCTGCACGACATAATCAAGGATGATGAGGAATAAAAAAGCGGAAAGGACCCAATCCTGCCTGACTCCTGTCAAGAAGTCTGTATAATCACCTTAGCTAATAACTGTTTGAGCCAGATGCAAAAGGAGGAGGGTTGGGCATTGGGTTAGCAACCTATCCCTGTAAAAATTATGAGTGATATGGAAACAGCAAGAATAAGCAGAAATTTTAATTTAAATGGTAAGATGAAAAATTAATCTCTTGAAAGTACTCAACATTAAAATAAAAGACTTCTGAAAATTAAGTCTAAGACTAGGTCTGAGTCTAAGATTAGAATCCACAACTTCCACTTACTGTGCAGATGCATTGCCAGTTACACTACCTGAGCTTCCAGTCCAACCTCCTCTACCATAATTAAATATATCTGGAGGAGGAGGATAATTAAATATACCTGGCAGAGAAAATCAGTTGGCGGTTCGGGTAGCATAACTGGCAATGCATCCACACAATAAGCAGGAGTTGCAGGTTCAGGTCTCACTCCAGCCAATTCTTTTCTTCCAGAATATTCCAAATTATTTAATTTAATTATAATTATTAAATTTAATAAGAGATGGCACCTAATAGCCTTCTTCTAGGACAAATTATTTAGAAATTAATTAAATATAATCATTGAAAAGTAGCCGGACGTTATCTGGTAGTGGTTTGTCTTCCAAAATGAATGTTAATATTACAGTAATTTAAAATAGTATGTTAATTATTATTCAAGAAGTATGTGACATACACAAATCAATAGAGTAACCGTCTGAACTTCATCTTCCATCCTCATTCAAACACCTCATTTTCTACTACCCCTAGGAAGTGTCATAAATGAAAATACCAACTCCACAACAGAGAAGGCATTTTGTGCTCTGGAGGAGCTGCAAAAGGTGGCTGCCGTGGGAGGAGTAACAATGGGTATGCCGTAGTAAACGTAGGAAAAATTTGAATATTGGTTGGATATGTTCCAAGTGATATGAGATGCACGAATTGAGAAACCGTAATGGGCAAATGTGAAACGAGGACAGTTTTCTAATGTTTTAATGTAATTACAATTTCTTAGATAATAATTAACATAATTACAATAATTTAAAATGGTAGAATTCTTTTTGGAAGACCTTATATTTATGTTTTAAACGTGCAAAACAACAGGATACAATTCCAATGTTAAACAAACACAACCCATGTATTTATGGATCATGTTATCATCATATTTAATAACAAAATGTAGATATATTGAATAAAAACTTTAATAATAAAATAGTATTATTATATTAAATTTTTATAAAAATCTACATATTTAATATTTCACTTATATACGTATTATTTTTATTCTTATAAAATTAAATTTTTGATATAATTGTTTATTACCTCTTGTGCAGATGGACACGGATTGAAGCTTGACTGATTTTCATATACTTCTATACTATCTAATAATCTTGGAACTGCAAAATTTGTAAGTCTATTTCTGTAACTGCTTGTAAAACAATTATCTTCGAAATGATATTCGCACACCCACTTTAGTTTTAATTCTCTTGGCGAGAGATAATTAAGATATTGTAAATCATTTCGTTTAATCAATTCCTCAATCCAAAGGTTACACCTTAAAATAAATTATCAATATTTCATATTGTTTTCATATTATCAGTTAATTTTAACTTATGTAGTGTGAACCCAATTTACAAGCATACCTTGTTCACGAAAACATGGGTAAAATTAAAATATCAAATCTCTCATAGTGCCATATCAGGTTTTCCCGACCTCGGCCACACCCGGCGCGGATTAGTGAGTAGTTAGTAAATACGCCAAGGCGTTACTAGAGAAAGTTAGTACCCAGAGTGGTTTCCCGTTGCCTTCTCTGGGGCGCGATGTTACGTGAGGGGAACTAATGCCTTCCGGGAGGACTTTTATGGGGAACTGGCCTCCTATTTAGTCGTTATTGGCAAGGAGAAAACCCGGAAAACTCCAAGCAGCCAGCCTGTCTGATCGCGGCGCGAACCCACAACCAAACTCCCAGTGTTTAGGGTACGAAGACCACTCGGCCACTGATGGGCAAAATATCAAATAGGGACAAGATTTTTCGATTATTTCTGATTGTCGAAATTTGTGCATCCTTGGTTACATTACATAGTTTATAGGATGAGAGCGCTGAAGATGTCCCAAGTCGGTACCATGTGTAACTAAGAATGGTTATATCATATTTAAATATGTCTGGAAAAGGAGATCGGACCAGAGGCGTAACTGGCAATGCATCTACATGGTAAGCGGGAGTTGCAGATTTGAGTCACGCTCTGGGTCAATTCTTTTCTTCCAGGATATTCTAAATTATTTAATAAATATTAATTTAATTATAATCATTAAATTTACTAAGAGATGGTGCCTAATGCCACCCTCTAGTGACAAATTATTTAGTAATTAATTAAATATAATCGTGAAAAAGTAGCCCGAAGTAATACAGTGTTTGTTTGGCTTTAACTAAGACAATAAGCAAGCAGAGAATGAGCAAAAATTAGTAAATAAAAACATAAAAGCACTTTTTAATTAATCAATCTAATCATGGCACAGGAATTTCAATTTTGTTGCACTTTTTAATATTGGACTGGGCTCATTGTATCAAATGTTTTGTCTCATTAATGGGAAAGAGATATAAAAGAAAACAGCTTGTCACATTAAATTCTCGTAAATTGGGATCAAACTGTACATTATTACTTAATAAAAAAAACTCACCTGTTTTCATTTGTTGGAAAACGAAACAACGACATTCCGTGTCTTGGTGCAACTCTTCTGCAAACCACACATCTTCTCACTTTTTGTTGTTTTCCGAACATCTTACAAACAGCTTTATCTCAACAACAATCAAAACTCTTGCAACCTTAAACAAAATAAATTTCCTTTAATGAGAACCATACAAAAGTAACTTTTGCCTAAACTAATTAAACTTTGTTAGTTAAAAACTTCAAACATTAAGAATACAGATTTCAAATTCTTACATATACTTTGACATTAACAATATATCTGATACAATAAAACATATCATATAGTACAAAAAAACTGAAGGGTTTTTAATTTATACAGTTTAAATGATGTACATAAATTATTTTTATAGCATGTAGGTAAGCAATTAACACATATGTTAATGGTTGATAAATTATAGAATCTCTATAATTTTACACAAAAATAGCTTTATGGTATCGTATATTGCCTTTAGGAGTTTCGTAAAATCCCAAATAACATTATATTTTCATTGACTAGACAAAATGCTACCAGTTCCATTCTAGAACACTATGATCCACATATGAAAACCAGAATGCTTGGTCACAGTTAATTTCTTACAATTTCTCCAGTGATAACCAAATTAGTGCATTCAGATGAATTGTCATTATGGACAGATTACAAATCTTTGTGACAGATTACAGTTAACAGGAGTATATAAGATTTTTCGTTAAGCAACAATAAAGTTCTTTTTTATTATACTGGTGCCATAGCTTTTATTTCGTAGTGGAGAATTTCAGACATAGAAAAAGTGTGAAGTCCTCACTTCCCTAAACCTGTTACTGGCACATAACGCGTATAAGATATATACAGCGGGTGACAAATGTTTTCGAACTATCTCGCAGTTCTTCCTCAGGTCAACTAGCTTAAGAATGCTTCTGAACGGAGCATGTGGAGAGATAGTTCAAAAATGTTTGTCACCCGCTGTATGTATCTTATATGCATTATGCGCTGATAACAGGTTTAGGGAAGTAAGGATTTTACTCCAGTGCTGAAATTAGAGTTAACTTTGTGATTAAAAAGTGTGAAGATCTACAGTATAGTCAGCAGCCTTCTGTGAAATGATTTGAGACTATATGGAACTGCAAAAAGATAAAAAAATAATCCAGTAAACCTTTCACTCCTAAAATCTTAATTCATCTATTATTAATCAGTTTATTCTCAATCTCAAAAATGTGCTAACTGCATGCCTACACATTTTAAAATAATTTATGATGTAAAATTTGAATAATCTTAAAATCCTTCAACTTATTTGTATCATATAATTATAACAGATATATTTTAAGTACAGTCTAAAAATTTGAAACTGCATTCTTCTAAATGTCTGAAGTTTTAACGTATACAGATTAATTAGTTTACACAAAAGTGTTTTTGAATATAGTTCTTATTAAAAGAAATTTATTTTGTTTAATGTTGTAAAGGACTTTTATTACCAAATTGTAGCAACGTATAGGTTTATCCATAATTTTACAATTGGAAACTATATTTTTATGCTATATTTGATTAGAAATCAGGGCTGTGGAGTCGCGTAAAAATCTACCAACTCCGACTCCGGCTAAAACATCAAAACTCCACGACTCCGACTCAACAGCCCTGCCAGGGCTGTGGAAGTCACGTAAAAATCTACCGACTCCAACTCCAACTCCGACTCCGGCTAAAACATCAAAACTCCATGACTCCAACTCCACAGCCCTGTTAGAAATGCACTGTAAATTGACAAGAGATTTTAAAAATTTCAGTGCATTTCTCACGAGAAAAAATTTTATATATAAAATTCTCAATCACATGACAATCAATCTAAATTACATAAAAATAACAGTTTAAAGAATGTATATTTCAAAATATACATTTTCAATACTTGTGCCAAAAAACTAGTTTGCCTTAACAGTATGAAAATGATGTAACAGTTTCCAATCACATGGTACAGCTAAGTCTCTGTTCTTACTCTGTGGTCTGCATCCTCTTCTACAATAACTTATTCATGTAGCATTTCTTTACACAAGTTATATTTTCTTGTAATATTTGTGGCAATAAATTCTCAATTTATCAAAAGTAAAGGATCTGAGTATGTTTCTACAATAAAAATACTTATGTTTCTACATTATCTTTAACCTTTGATATGTTTGCACTCAATATATGAATAATTGGTTGCATTTCTAGGGAATCCCTCAAAATTTGGTTTCATCCACTTGCTAATAGATGATTTCACTGATTATCATGAATATTTCTACATCTCTCCTGTTCTGACTGTTCAAATTTTTTTCAAATAAAACATTTATTGACAGCATTGATGTGAGTGAAATGACTTGATGACATTGTAACCCAATTCACTGCTGCAAATATTTCTCCTTGACTTAATTACAGTCTACAAACTGCTAAGATAAAATATTGTCTTAGAAACCAAGAAACCATCACTATAATTGTGTATTTCAAGAAAAGGAAAAAGAAAACCTTATATATATATAAGGTTTGCAGAGCAACTGACACTCTTGTCTTTTATCTATTCACAAAATATATATATACTACAATGATTTTTACATCATCTATAGTAATTGTACACTTAGAAGAACAAACTAAGTATCAAGTGCATATGATAAAACTCCACCAAAATATTACAGTTTAATGATTAAAGCCAAAAAATCCCTGTGGGTGTAACATATGGAAGGTAAACGTTCCCTTAATAAAGAGCCTACAAAATAATTTCCACAGAAACTTTTATGGTTTTGAAATCTATTTTATCTACTACTTTCTAGAAAGTACAATTAACCACTAAACATAAATGCCAGTATCAATTTCATATTAAATAATTATATGAAAGGAATTTTTACATAGGTAAAACAGAAAATACATTAAACATTCTTAGAGCTTTAAATAAAATATATTGTATAAGTTATTCTTTACTTTTACAAAATCAATGCTAATACAGTCAAACCTCAGTTTTCAAATAGCTCACTTTTCAAACAAAATTCTGAATTCATAATTGCACCAGTTGCCATACAATAACTTGGTTGCGGAACAAGCTACTTAGCAAGAGTTGGTCACCGATTAGAAAGAGACAAATAGTCAACTCCCTATACTTCCTATATTAAAGAAAGTAGACAGCCCAACCGATCAATGATGGGACTACTAATTCAGAAGTTATTGGCACTGAAATTGCCTTGCATCGTTAGATGTCATCACATGAATCATCAATGACAATGCCATTTAAATTAAATTTCAATGCATATGCAGGAAAGATACTGCTTCTGTAATTTTGTATGCACTGCAGTTGAATTTAAATTAATTAATAAAAACAGTGTTAATTGACTAATCCTACATAATTGTATTGTAGAAAAACACACGGAAATTCAAATTTTTTTCCTTTCCGACTTACGGAAGATAAGCAACTTCCAAATTCTAAAACATTACATTAATAATGAAATAAAATGGTTGTTTAAAATGAAACCATGATGGATAATTGTCGGAATTTGAGCTGTGTACAAAATAACATATTGAAGAGGCCGAATTTACTAGCAAAATGCATTTAGGGGATGTACCAAAGTAATTAAAGTGTTTCTCTCTGCAAAGGGGCCGTCCATAAATTACGTAAGGTGTTTTGGGGTGGGTGGGGGTAAAGGATTTCTTACTATTTCTTACTCAGGGATAGGGGGTAATAGATCTCGTCTTACGTAATAATGTGAGACCCGAAAGGCCCCTGGGTCAAAATTAATATTTTATTATAATGTTAAAATAATGTCACCAAATATTACTTCATTTTTGGTGAGAAAAATACTGTTTTAACGTGGGAATAGGCAGATAACAGATGTCACTTCCTTTTACTGAAGTTAGTACATCCTCTGACTTTCCCTTATCTGGTTAAAATCCTGCTCAGATGGGAAATGGTTACCCCTCATTCATTCCCCTTTTATCCGTTCTCACGAAAGAGTTACTGGCCGATGATTGGTCGGTATTCCGAAGATATACAGGGAACTTGTCAGAATTCGGGGAGTTCTTCGACAGATCCGAAAGCGTCCAAACTCCACACGTTCTTCTCCTGATGACCAACGCCCTTAAACGAGTCACTTAGACTAAGTCCCGAGTCTGCACGTAGAAGTGATACTTTTATATTTGTGCACATATCGATCTCCCATGTTAAGAAGTAAAGGAACTTTTTTCTACGAGGGGTCCTCTGCCAATACAGATGAAGACGAACGACAACTAAACAGGTCGTATGTTTTATAATAATTTTGTGAGCTCTCTCTCTCGATCGCGCATCGGCATAGTATAAGTCCTTGCCAATCTCGGGTGGCTTAATTGTCTTATTGATATCCCTCGTTCGTTGTAATTTGTATTCGTTTGTTTTTGAATTATTAAATTTACTCTTGTTAAATTTACTTAAATGTCCATTAAATTGATTCCGAAACAGATCTCATACGCGTGTTAATCCGCGTGTAAAACAATTGATTAACTGGTGTCGGGAACCTGACAAGGATCTGAACTTCACAGATTCAGATCTATTAGCGATTATCGCCCTCCTATAAAAAGTTTAGTGAGCCGATCACACGATCGTGCGCCAGTAAGTGATATAGGTAATTTACTTATATCCTTGGCTACTCTCACAATATTCTTATTTTTATTTTTTGATCTTGTTGAGTGGTGGCGTTTTGAATTTGGCTTCAATTTGGCGGTTTCTATTAAGAACGCTGGTTGTCTCGTGTGACGTGATAGAGTAATAACGCTAGCAGATTTACGCTCTACACATTTTCTGTCATGGGAGAAAGGCCGTGTGGTGGTTTCTCTCTCTTGTTTTTTATTAGAATAAGTGCACCACTCCTTTGGGTTGTACAACACTAAGAATACATAAACCAAAATGCATGATACAAAGTAAACATAAAATTAGTATTCGGCTTTCAGTGAAAACTAAAATGTAAAACCAGAAATTATAAATAGTCTTTTCTTTCATATTTTTTAACATCATTGTAAAAAGCATGAAATAGTGGTTTCTGAACAAGCTTATCGAGTGGACGTGGCCACCCGAAACCAAGCGTAAAAATTTCTAATCTCAGAATAAGTGTATGTTGATCGTAAATTGGACAATGATAGATCATATAGTCGACGGTG